AATCACGGGACGAGATAATCAGTTTCCAGCCGTCAGAGCGTCATCTATAGGAGCTATGCCCTAACTATAACTTTTACATTTCAGCCGCCAGGAGGATACCTAAGTCCTCTTACTTGGAATCTAGTTAAAGTCAAAAGATTTATATAAGACGTTTATGAAGATAACTTGGGACTGGTTGTTAAAGGTATTATCAGGGTTTTTTCCGAAATTTCGGAGTTACTCAGTGAAACGTGTAGAAGAAGGTGGCTGAGGCCCCAATCCAAAGTCATTCGTCTCAAAGTTGCCTAATTTCCAAATGGTGGGCCTCCAAAGTTGATCCGTCTGCCAGCCAGTACCTGGAGGAGGCAGTACCAAGTACTCGGATACATTTCCCTATAAGTCCATAGGCTTAACACGAGCTAGAGACTTCTAGAGATATTTTTTATGCCAGATAAGGCCGTCGCATACCAGATAAGGCCGCAACGGCCGTTCAACGTTACGTGGGGAAATGGGAGAAATCTAAAGACTTTTTTTCTCTGACGTCTCCACTCCAATATCTCTAGCGCAACTGGCAAGCGTTGTTAGCATTGGCTCGTGTCGTCGTAAATAAGATTTGTTTGACGGATATTCCGTAAGTTGAGTGTGTTGTTGTAATTTCTGAGGCTGTATGAGTTGGACGGAATGGCGCCATCCCGCCATGTGCGAAATCTGTGCGAAACAAAGCTGTTCCTATTCATATTTGAATGTTCAAGACATGTGGGCTTTGTAGCCAGTGCGTGTAGCTTCTGGATATCCTGTGGGTTATCAAAATAATTAAAAAATTATGTTGTGTGCTTTCAAACTAAGCTCATCCCGAGTGTAGTTCAAGAATGTCTTAGTTCAAGCAATTAAACTTGAAAGTGATATAGCTCTAGCAATGAAGAAGCTTGGATGGAACGTTGAATCAAAGTTACCAATCATTTGTAATGTTAATGCTAAGTGCTGAACGTTACCAATAATTCGAGACATCCGTTGTAAGATGTATGACGCAGATCAACTTTGATTAAGTGAAGAAAATAGATTTCAGATGAAATAATGTCAATGTTCAAGGCTGAGCGACTGGCAGATTTCGGAGTGATCAAGAGTGGCCTTGAGACATTCTGTTTCTGTAGGTACTCAAAATAAATAAATTATCATGTTGTGTGCTTTGAGGTTAAGTGTTATCACAACTTCATGGTTGTGCTTTGTTGTTGGTGTATGGGCATATTTTGAGCACATTGCAGCATGATATTGGTGGTGTGTAAAGCAACTGATATCCGCAGACTTTGCACTTACTTGCAAAGCCTGCAGACTGACTTTGCAGACTGGCTGACAATGAGCAATGCATTGCTGACTGATATCATTTATTCTGTGTTTGTAGCACAAAGTACAGAAGTGGCACATACATTGTTACTTTGAAAACCTGATGTGAATTTGATGTAGAAAATTGGTGGCTGACGTTGAGTCCTTACGTATTGTGAGTAGTGTACAACTGGTGCATTGAGCACAGACTTGAGACCAGTGACGTTTGTATCAGTAGACTGTGTTTGAGTCTACTTATATGGGTAGTCATAAAGCAGGCGTCACACTTCTTTTTGCAACCAAGGAGAAGCGCTATATAGCCAGAGTTGCTTTGTCATCCAACCTTACCGAACCAAACCTAACCTTACCTACAACCTAACCTACAGCGCCTCTCTTCGTTCGTTCATGGTTGCAAAAAAAAAACGAGTGTGACGCCTTCTATACTACTACCCTTATATGGCCTTGGTTTGAGTGTGGTGACCGAGTAAGCTGGTGCGTATAGCCATGCAATAAGTGTTTTGAAATATATTTTTGGGACAGTATTGAAATGGTGTGTTTTGGCCATCTGGCATGGATGATGGAAAGCCACTAGCTCAACTTCAGGAACGCTTCTTCATTATGCTCATCTAAGGCACAATCATCTATTTTCTCTTCGCAAGGATTGATTACTAATTCACTGTCAATTATAACCTGGTCCAGAAGGTTTCGCTGGGCCACACGGTTCATACAGATTCATCCACAGTGCTCAGCAGTGCATGTTTTCAGATTTCAACAGACTGTAATTGTTTCTGTATGTACATATGCATCATGCAAGGGTACAACAGATGCGGTATTTGGTAAGCAGTTGGCAGCAAGGTGGTGTTTGTACTTATTGGCAGAACCAGTTGAGCAGGACTAAAACTATCCTAGTTTCTCTCCAATTTACTCAGATCCGTCTCAACACATTGAACATATTGAAAGCGTCCATCCATGAAGATGTCTGCATGTATACTCATTTCCGAGAAGGCACGCTCGTCGCTCATCCATTGTCGAGCAGGCACGTGCGTGCCCATCGCCGGCGCGCATTAGCGCGCGTCCATGGCTGGGGCGCACGCGCGCGGCCATGGCCGGCATGCACGCGCGCGCGCCCATCGTCGGCACGCAAGCGCGCGCGCGTCCATAGCCGGCGCGCGCGCCGCGTCCTTACCCGGCGAGAACGCCGCGTCCGTACCCGGCGCGCACCCGCGCGCGTCCACAGCCGGCACTGACAGACCCTGACCGACGGGCGTGCTGCCGTCGGCGGTCCTGACAGATGGGCGGCGGGCCCGGCTCCCGCAGCTCCGGCAGCGGGCGGCAGCTATGGTCGGCATACACGCGCGCGCGCCCATCGTCGGTACGCAAGCGCGCGCGCGCGCCCATCGTCGGCACGCAAGCGCGCGCGCGTCCATAGCCGGCGCGCACCCGCGCGCGTCCGTACCCGGCCCGCACCCGCGCGCGTCCACTGCCGGCACTGACAGACCCTGACAGACGGGCGTGCTGCCGTCGGCGGTCCTGACAGATGGGCGGCGGGCCCGGCTCCCGCAGCTCCGGCAGCGGGCGGCAGCTCCGGTGACTGTTCCGGCAGCTCCGGCAGCGAGCGGCGTCTCCGGCAGCGCTCAGCAGCGGCGCCAAGCAGCAGCAGAGGCTGAGCCAACAGGCGGCCGCGGAGGCACGCCCCCCCCCCCCCGCCCCCCTTGCACATTGTTCGTCCATGGAGATGTCTGCAAGCACGACCATTGTTGAGAAGGCACGTGCATCCATGGCTGAGCACTGAGCAGGCACGTGCGACCCCTTTGCACATTGTTCATCCATACATATCAATATAATTTACCTTATTGATTAGTGTGAGTCTTGCAAAATCTTCTCAGAAATACCACAAGGCAGGCTGCCTGGGTGAGTTGCTAATATGAACATAATGAACATTATACATTAGTGCAGTACCTATAAGTATCCATGCTGTGTGAAGGACTTGGCCCTCACGTTCATTCGTTTGGTGATTGCACATGGTGGCATGTGTACCAATTGTTCTCCCTAACCCTTCTTACAACTTTGACTAGCAAGTAGAAGCTGGCAAAATGCAAGGAGCTTACAAGCATGCTTATATGTAGATAACTGAGGATGATTCTCTCAATTGAAGCATGATCCGCACTCAGCAGCTTCTTCTGTTCTGTTCCACAAACTAAAACTGAAATAACTCAATTTTCCTCAAAATATATTCATTTATCACTCATAAACAACAAAAATATACATTAAGTAGGTACCAGGGCAATAAAAAACATACAAGTTACATATTTTTTCATGTACCGTCCTTTCACAGCAACAATATGTAGAAACGCACCAAGACGTTCACGGAGAGCCCACCCATAACAAACTATAGTTGAAGCCGGGGCTCTGCTGCAGCAGCAGGGGTGACGTACAGGGCACAAAGGTCATGTCACATCATGTTGTACAACCTGTTGTTCGAAAAACAGATCAACATTGATTTTGAAAAAAAAACTGTAGCGCTTTCTTCAGTCACTTAGGTAAGCTTTCTCGCAAGACGTTACATTAGATTCACCACTCTTGACAAAATAATCAGATTGAAACTTAGCTCTTGTGCCTGATGCACTTACATTTCAATTTATTGAAATAAAACACTCAAATTTACCCTTGAAAATTGTTGACATTTAAATGATATTAACATCAAGATTTTGATGATCAGCAAACAAGCTATTCAAATCACACCCATATAATAACTTTGGCAATGTTGATAACTCTTGCTGTCTTATTGAAAAGCAAATCTTCAATTTGTTCATATCCAAATCCAATGCCAAGCACTGAAATCTTGTTGCAAGGCCCTAAAAACAACAGACAAAAACAAAACAGTCTTGTGGAAATCGCCAGTGCGGTGCGGCGGCCTTGGCGAAATTTCCCAAGGCTGCTCTTTGTTTACATTTTAGCGATGGGCCAACTTGGCCGCCCAAGTACTTGTTTTGCGTGAGTAAGTACAATTTTGTCAATTTTGAAACGGCTATATCTCGCAAATTTCGGTACCGATTTACATTTTATGCATATCTTTAGAATCGGCAGAGTCTGGGGAGTTCATTGATTGGAAATTTATGCCGATTCCTTTCAATTTTTAAACCCTGATAATCCCTTTAAGTTGCATGCTCACGGCGGGCTGTCATCAATTTATATCTATACATGTCTTATCTGATCGATGAAATAATACAGGAATCCGTTGTCATTCCGCATTCGAGTGTGTTTCATAATAGCTCTTCCGACTTTGACGAATATCGACAGTGCCGTAACAAAATTGGTAGTTCAGGTATAGACTGCAACTGCAGTTCTTTTGCAACTTATTCCTTAATCAGATGAACACTTGTCAGAGATTTATTGGGCGTACGATATTGGCGTGCGAACGTAGGGGCCAAAAATGCGCGTCTACGACCGACTTCTTTTTAAGAGAAAAGAACCGCTGAAGCAAGAATCGATCCACCGACCTGTCGTCCATCACACCGAGACTCTAACCACTCGGCTACGGCGACACATACATGTCTCATAGCCATATACAATGCAAAAATAGTCTCAACTCAAATCTAGCCTCAATGCATGCATTGTCGCGGCGGATGGCTATGACGTCGCACTACAGATGTCGCTAGTTGATGGGCCGATTCGTGTAATACAATTGGCGAATACGCTCCCCGGGCCGGGAGATCTCCCGACGCTACACACGGCCAGGACCGCCAGAAACCGTCTGATGACCATTCTGCTGATGACGGGTAAGCCTTTGGCATTGGTAGTAACCATGATGTACTTACCATGATCCTTCTCCTTTGTGACCATGATCCTTCTCCTTTGAATAGTTTTTAATCGTTAGTTTTTAATCGTCACATCAATTTTGACTATAATGCCTTCTCCTTTGTGCGTAACTGAAATGAAAGTGTTTAATTGCGTTTTCCTTTGTTTATTTCAGGACGCAGAACTCGGCAAAAGCCACAAGCTGATCAGAAACTGGACTTTCAAGACGGCCAGACAACACCGCCACGAAGCGCCATGCCTCCTGAAGGCCTGGCACCGGCTGCGCTATTACCGCGACCAGGAGAGGCCTCTCCTGCTGGCGGTCGGCAGTGGCGCCCCTTCTGAGGACAGCGGCCGAGTAAGTGAAAAGTGCATATATATTATTAAGTCCGGTTTCGATTGTATATATTTCATGATCGTTCAGAGAGCAGACGGCGCACATCTGACCTTTTTTTCGTCCCTGTGTGTTTTAGCTGTTCATCAATCAGGGAGGCTCAGCCATTGACTCGAGCAATGCGGCTAAGATCTTCAGAACGGTGTGGCTGGAGGCCATGGGGGAGAATGCCGACGTGCCAGCCCTGACGTCTCGCGGCATCCGCTACGGAACTGTGATCGGCCTTGCGCCGACGTCAGAGAACCAGGAGTATGTAAGCTCAGTGTTTGTTGACGAAATAAAGCGTTTAACAAAATAAAATGTCCTTTCGACTTTCCTATTAACTTACGTTCCTTAAAATGTGAGGACCTTTATTATACAACCCCGTGCACTAGCTACATTTAATTAAAACCACATAATTGTCTAAAACTATCAAAACTTTGGTGCCGTTAGATAATACTAACTTATTTCTCTTTTGTTGTAGGTACGTAGCGGCGTCGATGGCGCACTCCCGAGACACCCAACTATACGTGTACGATGTGCACGGCGGGGTCGGCGTGTCTGCGAGGCTGCGAGGGCACGACGCCATCATAAGAAAGCGGCAGCGGCTCGTCGCTGGAGACAGCAGCGGCAGCAGCAGTGACTCCGAGTTCCGAATGGGAGCAGCCCGAACACGCCACCACCGCCGATTCCTCCGCTGCCGCTGATTCTTCCACTGCGTCTCAAACCGCGTCGGCCCCTCTACCGAAGGTGAAGACGATGCTGCTGCCGCCACCACTCCGGACGCCGCAGCCACTCCATCAGCTGGTGGCGTCACCGCCACCGCCGGTACATCAGCCGGTGGTCTGCTGCCGCCGCCTCTGCGCCACGTGGACGGCGACAGGGCCCAAGTGGTGGCACAAGACAGGAAGGAACGATTTGGTCATCAGCAGAGTCGCAAGCCCTAGCGTCTGCATGCCGAGAATTCATAACCGGCGAAAAGCGGCGCTACGACGCTCGTGACATCTCAAAAGATGTCAGTGCAGTGCTGGGCCGCTTCACACCTCAGCAAATCCACGACAAGGCGAAGTATATGCGCCGACGCTATGTAAAATAAGTGCGACACAAAAGTCCGTGACCAGATCTTATACCTGATCTATACATTGAAGGCACTAGGATTACCCGTTGCGCCGGACGCGGCTGGCCGCTGGCTTCTTTGCTTGAGGACCTTCAGTCGGTGGCCGCGGGTGCGTAGCGTATACTCGGGGCGGGCGGGAAGTCGTCCTTGTCCAGGCGGAAGCGTCCAATTTTATGTTAAATCTTATGAACTCTTATGTTAAAATATGCCTTTTCTTTGCGTCTAAGTTTGTTATGTTGTCCTTGATCGTTGTATATGTTACAGGGAGTATGCGATTTCAGTTAGTTTGCAACGACCCTAGGGTGAATGTAACCTCCCTGAACGATCAGTTTGTTTGCAACGACCCTAGGGACGTTACAAAATAACTGCTCGTTCCGGGACGTTGTAACGAAACTAGGGTCGTTGCAACCTCCCTAGTTAGTATGCAACGAATCTAGGTTTGTTACAAAATAACTAGGGAGTTTAAGAATTCATCGAGTCTCGTTTCACAGGAGGGCCGTCAACAATCTTGTCCAATAAAAATCCTGCTCAATCTAGTTCAGTTTAAAAGAAAAGGAGAACAAAAATTGAACATTCAGCTCAGGAGTATATGTGGTGCCCGGGACAAAGCACGTAACTGTGATAATTTTGGCTGCATTATATCGCCAGCATATGTTTACATGTAGAAAATATAGTTACTGGGGTAGGTGTGATGGATATCCGTCGCTATCCGTGTGCGGATTATCCCTCACACTTTTAGGGGTGCAGGTCGGATAAAACCCCTCGTTTTTTGCGATTATCTCGCGCTAAGAACGGCCGATCGTGACGAAACTGAGTGTCCTCACGAACTTATCTACGCTACTGGTTACACATTCCCTATATGTACAGTTCATGATCCTGAAACCAATGACCCTTGACCTTTGATCTGATTTCTGAGACCATGGCAGACCGAAATGATTTGCCGTTTATGTCAGCGCACATAAAATTGCGTTTCCAGACTTCTATTGTGATAACATATACCTAAACGTGCCAACACGTGAACTGATGGTTGTCCCATGCATCATGATGGGTTTCAAGTTGACTTGTCAGTTGTCGGTCAGGTCAAGGTCATTGACGTTTGGTGACTTTGCGTGACTGTTTCCAATTTTACGATTTAAAGGGAATTTATTTAGGCTGAAACAGACTCTTTCCGCATTCAGGAAATCGCATGCGAGAGCCTATTCAAATACATTACAATTCTACCCGCAGCAGTCGCATCCGGGAGGTGCGTGCGATTGATGCGAGCGTGCTTTCATATATTTGAACAGGCTCTCGCATGCGATTTCCTGACTGCGAAAAGAGTCCGTTTCAGCCTTATTTCGAATCCAGCATTAGTTGAGACATTTGAGAAGTACGTATAGTTGTGGTGCCAATGCAACTTGCTACGAAGGTGTCGCTTGTGGTTTAGGCACAGTGGGTCTATTTATAATCTCCAGAGCCACCACGTGGCGCTACGGTCGGGGTAGGGCGAGTCCAAATCCCGAGGGAAGTGAGGTCACCGGTCATTGTGGGGGAAGGAGGGAGGGAGAGTGTCGCGGTATCACGGCGCAAGGGGCGTGCGTAGCGCCGGGAGTGGGCCGCTCGCCACTGCGTCGAGGCTGAGGGGAGGGGCATGATAGTTGCGGGTGCGTTCACTCCGGTATGGTGGTATCCTGTTCATGTTGTATGTACGAGCAAGAATGCGACTGAAGGGAGTCATTACCTCAAACAAACGGGCAAGCGAGAGGCAGCGCCAGTTTCAGCCAAAATGTTGAACAATGATAATTGAAATCTAGGGCGTATTCATAGCATGCAACTATTCAGTCGATATTTGCATGATGCCTAAGGCTTTTCTAAACTGTTATTTGAGTTTGATATTTTTTTCATTTGACACGTTCAGTTTTGGTGGGTTTTATCGGGTCGAAAGAATCAGAAAAGAAAAGAGTGGAAACGACACAAAAAATGACCAAAAATATTTTCTTTAAAATGAAACTTAGCTAAACATTTATAAGCGATAATTTTTACTTCTTTTAGAGGATATTGGGGAAAGATGTCGTGCTTGTCTGTGTTGCAGTAGAAGGAAAGGTTTTGGTTCGTGTCTAGATAAAACCACACCCGGGAGTGGGGCTTCGAACTCACGACATCGCATTCAGCTCACAGGTTACCCAACCTCAACGCTACGAGCACCTACCCAGCGCAGCTTGCTCAAAGTTTGGGCTAAAGTTCGGCCAAAGTGTCTGACGTCTGTCAATGTCACAAGGCGAAACCCCAAGGTAAACGTCCGTTCCGGTAGCTTGGTCGGTAGAGCGTTGGACTCCGTGTGGTGAGAGCGCACGTCCCGGTTGTAAAAGTTCGGGTTCGAAACGCTTTGGAGCTTCCTGACGGGTATGGTTATGGTTGGTGGCAGGCCGCTGCCCGGCGAAGTCAGTGAGGGGACTGGTCGTTCGCCGCTGTGTAGTGTGTGCACACGTTAAAATTTGGACTACAAATTCTGCCATAAACCAGGAATTGCTTGATCGGAGGGTAGAGGGCAGGGTCAACGCAACAAGCTCAGCTATAACAAAATCAAAGGGGGGCACGGTGCCCCGGTGCCCTCCCCGTTCCGCCGCCTATGATTCGGTCCCTTTCATTGAACTAGGGAATTGGAAAGGTCCTATCTCTGAATTAGAAGACTTGCTCTCAGGGACGCCACCAATTGACCATACATCACTCAAAAGTTAAATAAGACCTGAATGAGTCAGTCATAACATGGAACATGTGTCACAGGCTGCGAATATTAGTTTTGATTTTCGGGAATATGTGCCTGCCCGGTTGACCTGACCTTGACCCTGACCTATGCTTGACTGACCCCTACATGGAGCTGACACTCTTGTAGGCCTTATATGATGGATTGTGCACCGTTTTGACAGAGTTTATGACGAGAGGCGCCCATTGCGAAGTCCTGAAGTCCATGCTACTGAAAGCCCGATTTCAGGTGTTTGACCTGACCTTGACCTGACCTGTGACCTCAAAATTCAACTTTAAAGTACTCATCTGAAGCGTCTCGTCGCGTTCTTTCGTTTGCCGCCTCGTGCGTTTCGCTGCGCCTATTGGTTCTCGAGTTATCGGCTGGGGGCGTTTAACGCCCCCCCCCCAGCAAACGGTGGGTGGCGAAATACCCCAGCAACTGCCGGGTTAAAGGGACTATCCCACCTGTACATTTGGTTTGACTTGAGATAGCCAAGTTTGCGGCGAGGTTCAGAAACCACTATCTATCTTGGTCGCAACCCCCGCAGCCTCGTGGTGTTGAAGAAATTCGTTCCCTTCATTTGAAAATGTTCCCTGTAGAAGTCCCAATCTCTTAACCATTAACGGCAATCTGATGACGTCATTTGCCTTTTGAACGCCTGTCACGCAATCAAGTGAAGTATCACTTGATTTACGAATAAGCCAATCAGAGATACTTTTGCTATTGTATAAGCCGCGTCATATTTGAGAGCAAATATATTAGCTGCCAAATTTCCCTCCACATTGACATGAAGTAAATCCTTCATTACGTCACAGATCCGATCTAAATGACGTCACAATGAAATATAAAAGTCGCAATATCTAAAAAAGTATAAGATTAAAACGCGTAAAAACTTGCAGAATTCGTCACTATATCATGAGTAGCATTTCCGAATCCTAAACGGTACTTTTAGGTGGGCTAGTCCGACCCCCACCAAACACGATTTGGCAGCACTGTAAGGACGCCTGCTGGGCGTGAAGTTTTCCCTTCACCATAGGGTTTACACACAAACTGGTCAAAGTTTGAGCCAGGATATACTAGTCTAAAAATGCAAAAAACGAACAAATTTTGGCATCAATAGATTCAGCATTTCATCGTGTGCCTCAAACCGTCCATCATTTGGCCTCAAAGGAGGTAAAAACTGTTCAAAATCGAAGTTGAAAAGATGCTTCCTGAGCACATAATCTGGTAGCAATCACGTGACCGGCTTTAAGCAGCTTATCGATAATTTACAAACATAATTATTAATATGCTGCTTTAAACAACATTAATCATACATTTTGAGCTTTCAGTACTTTAAATAAGGTCAAAACATCGCAAAACACAAAAGTTAATACAATAGTCACGTGGGTGTCAGGAAATGTCACAGGTGCGTCAAATTTGTGACTGGGGCTTTACTTTCAAACATCGGATCTACCTGTTTCTTATAGGTATCTTGGGCTAGTCCCTTTAATGCCATTTTGTATCATGAGCCCTGTGCATAAAGGGACCCTCCCACCTTAACATTAGATTTGAGTTGAGATAGCCAAAATGGGGTCCCTGGCTCACAATTACCGGTTTCGGCACTCACAACATCGAGAAATGCCTTAAATCGGAAATATTGAATTCCAAAATTGCAGCATTTTGATTCAGATGGGTTAATGCATAGGAATACCCCTCTGAATGTGTGACGTCAGCGCAGATTTCTAACGATTTTTAAATGTTTGACTAAAACGTTTTGTAGCACGCGGTGGTATATGCTGCTTTAAGTGCCGCACTTTCAGCTGCCAAACTATTGCTTCCAAATAAAGTCGCTAGGAACAGCAGAGATCCCAAAAAGTAAAAA